ACGCTCTCCGCACTCTTCTATACCTTCTTGCGGCAGCGGAGGAGGCGGAGGGGGCTGCCTCCTCCCTTTCCCTTCACCACGTGGAAAATAAAATTTTTTATTTCAACATTATTCGAAGATGGAGAGAGAGAAAATTATAAGCGTTAGGCGGGTAGGCGGCGGGGGGCGGCGGTTATGGAAAAAAAGAGAAAATTCGAGTTTAATTTAATTGGCGAAGTTTATTTTATATACAAAGTTAAAATTAACTTAGAAATATTATTTATTTTTTTTATGCAAAAAAAAAAAGTTTTTTTTTAATTTTTTTTTTTTTAAATTTAAAATATGCATCGGGAATATGTAAAATACATATTATTATTATTATTATTATTATTATTATTATTATTATTATTAGGTTTAATAATAATTTTTGTTTGTGTGTGTGGGTGTGTGTTTGCATCAATGATTTTTGTGTTTATTATAACATGAAATACAAAATAAATGAAAAAAATAAAAAAACGCGAATCGGTCGTAAAAAATAAAAAACAAAAACTTTTATTACGGTATTAATTTCGTAACAAATAAATAATTACGGGTAATTATTATTAATATGTAATAATATAAATATTTTTAATAAATAATTAATTAATTTTTTTTTTTAATAATAATAATAATAACGGTTGAGAGTTTTATAAAAACATAAGTTTAAATGGTAATTTACCGGTGGAGTAGGAGGAGGAGGAGGGATAAAAAGGAGAAGAGAAAACGAGAATGAGAAGGAGGTGGGAGAGCAAGTGGAAGGGGAAAGAACGAGAAGGAGGAGGATTAAAGAGGAGGAGGGAGAAAAAGGAGAGGAGAGAATGAAAAGGAGAATGAATGAGGAGGAGAGTGAATGAGGAGGAGGAGGGTGAATGAGAAGGTGGAGGGGTAGAATGAGGTGGGGGGAAAGAGGAGGGGAGAGAACTATGAAGTAAAATAAAATAAAAAAAATTTATTTTCGAGAAAGAGATCAAAACTTTTCTTTATTTTTATTTTTTTTAATTTTTAATTTTTTTTTTTTAACGAGGAGGAAATTTGAAATCGGAAAATTTTCAACTGGAAAATGTAAAGTTTTTTTTTTTTTAAAGTAAAATTGACAAAGGGAAACTGGAAAAGACTTTCTTTGGATGCCATTTTATTTCTTCTTTTTCTGTCATTCCTTTTTAAAATAAACAAATTCACTTTTTAAAATTTGAAATGACTTTTTCTCCTTTTTCTGTTTTTCTTTTTTTTCTTTTTCTTTTTCGTAATCGAGATACAAATTTTTATTTTTTCTTTTTCTCCAGTACAAAAAAAAAATAAGGAAAAGTTTTTTTTTTCCTTATGTGTCTCTGATACATTTTCTAAGCTTTCAGCTAAAAAAAAAAAATTTCTGACATTTTCAAGCTGAATTTGATATTAAAAAAAAAATATTATTATTATTATCAATTTTCTTTTTTTTTTATCTCTTTTCATATTCTCCATAATAATCCCCCCTCTCCCTCTCTCTTCAGACAGAAAAGTAATAATAATAATTATTTTTTATTTATTTACACCTGGATAAACATTCAATTTTTTTTTTTTCACGACCCGGAGTCGTAATCGTACCTGACTGGAGAAAGAAAAAAAGGTCAAAGGATTATGGGATGATATCGATATGATATATAATATATTTTCTTTTCCAACATTTTTTTTTTTTTTGGAGGTATTCATTGATTATTTTACGCATAAACGTGCTCGAAGCGTAAAGGGTAAATTTTCCTTTTTTTCTCCTTTTTCGTTTTTTCCCTCCTTTTTTCCTTTTTTCCTTTTTCTTTTTCATCTTTTAATCCTTTGTGTTCTTTTTTTTTTTCTCCAGCAAAGCTATCAATTTTATATTTTTATCGATATATAAACGCGTCGTGCACTCGTAACGTCTACAAAGGAAAATTTGAAACCATTTTTACTTTTTTTAAAATTCTTTTTCAAAAAAAAAACTTTCCTTTTTTTCCTTTTACCAAATCAAGTGAATGAATGAATTATGAGTTTAAAAAAGTTTCGCGCACGCGCACACACACGCACGGGAATTTAAAAAAAAAAAAAAATTTTTCAACTTTCGCTGAATTTTTTTTTTTTTTAAAAAACGTTTCTAAAAATTTTATACAAACAAATCATCTTCAATTGTTTTCCCCTCGACAAACAATCAATTTACCGACGATAGGAAAAACGAATAATAATAATAATAATAATCGTAATTTTTTTTTCGAACAACGCTCTCGAATTCGACGCTTGATTTATCATCAATTTTTATACTTTTTCTTTTTTTAAAAATAAATAATAATAATAATAATGATAAGTAATCGTTTGTCGTAATCATCATCATTATTATTATTATTATTATTATTAATATAAAAAATTAACAATGAGATTACGTAACACGCGGAAAAACGCAGGATTTATAAATAAAAAAGGAAAAAAAAATTTTCTCGTATGATAAAATAATTAAAAAATTTAAATTATATTTTCAAAATTACGACGATGATGATGATGATGATGATGACGATTTAAAAGCAGACGAAAAATAAATATTTATAAATTAAATTAATTTCCCTTCCTCCCCCTCCGCCTCCCCCCTCGATTATCTCGTTTCATTCATTCATAAAAATTTTTCTATAACAAAAAAAAAAAATTCCTTTTTATGTCACCGTAAATTCAAAAGGTTTTTAATAATAATAATAATAATAATAATAATAACAAAAAGATAACAACGTTTATTATTATTATTATTATTATCATTAATTAACTTAATTCTGATTTTATTATTATTATTATTATTATTATTAAATATTAATGACGTAAATAAAAAGAAAAAAACGTGTGACGTCAAGTATCATTTAATTCAAAATAAATTCGAGAGAAAAAGAAAAAAAGGGAGGAAGAGGAGGAAAATGGGGGGGGGGAAATTGAGGGGGAAAAAAAAAGTTTCTTTTCACTTTATCAATGGTGGAAAAAATAAAAACAATTTACGGGAAAATAATGAGCTGGAGATTTAAAGAGAGGGAGAAAAAAAAAGGTTGTAGCTTAATGAGACGAGAAAGGAAAATTTTCTCGTAAACTTGTTCTAAACCATCCACCATTTTATTTCTAATCAATTTCTATAATCGTGTTTCTTTTTTTTTTCAAATTTTAATTTACGAAAAATTAAAAATAATGATGATGATGATGATGATGATGATAATAATAATAATAATCACGATGATGACAACGATGACGATGACGATAATTTTTTTTATTTCGGATTCCTGAAAATTTGCCTCGGGTCAGGTTTTATTTTGTTATTATAAAAAAAAAAGATAAATTTATTATTATTATTATTATCATCATCGTCATTGCCCCCTTTTCATCATTATCATCATCATCATAATTGTGAATATTTTGATTGGATGTTTGTTTGTCGCGAATAAGAAAAAAAAATCCCGGAAATCCTTTTCGAAAAAAAAAAAAAAATTATATTAATTTTTCAAACTTTTGTTGTGTGTGTGACGTCATAACGGAAACGACAGCAAAATAAAAAAACATTTTTTTTTCTTTTTTCGAGTTTATTTTTGCTACCGTCAAAAAAAAAAAAAAGTGAGTGAAGGAATTTTGAAATGTATATATATATTTTTTTCGTAACATTTTGATGGGGTTTCTTTATGAGGAGAGCAAAAAAAAAAAAAAGTGAAAAGAAAAAGAAGCAGAAGATAAAAAAAAAAAAACTCCATTACTTATTTTGAAAATCCCAAGATCATAAACCATTCGAATCATCGTCGTCGTCGTCGTCGTCGTCTACAACATTGCATGACGTGCAAAAGTCCGCCGAGAATTTATAACAGCAAAAAAAAAAAAAAAAAAAGTTAACACACTGGAATATGTAATGAGATTTCAAAATGTTAATGATAATAATAATAATAATAATAATAATAATAATAATAATCTTTTTTCTCTTTTTTTTAAATAGGAAATCGAGGACTGGAAGCTCCTTATGCGGTTGTTGCATTCGTTCATGGAGAATCATACGAATGGAATTCTGGAAATCCTTACGAAGGAACCGTTTTGACCAGTTACGGTCACGTGATTGTTGTCACTATCAATTATCGTTTGGGAATTTTGGGTGAGTTTTTATCATTTATATTTTTTTTTTTTTCTTATCCACCATTTTCTTTTTCTCTTTTTTTTTTTTCCTTTTGGAAATTTCCCAGTTGGACGATTCTATTGATTATAATGAAAATGAATCAATCGATTGACCTTTTTTTACTTTTCTTTTTCTTTTTAAATTTCTTTTTTCGAGTGGAAAAAAAAGAAAAAAAAGAAAAAGTACCTGATCGTGAGGTTTTGTCATTATTATCATTATTATTAATAAAAAAAAAAAAGGGTTGAAAAAGGTTTTTTTTTCTTCCTTTTTTTTTTCTTCTTATTACGTCACGATTGTTATTAATTTATCTCTGATAAATGATCGTGTAATTGGTTCTTTTACGTAAGTATAACGAGAAAAATCATCATTCATTTTCTTATTTTTTCCTGGAGAAAATTTTTAACATGGAGAAAAAATTTTTAACATGGAGAAAAAATTTTTACAAAATGGCGATTTTATAATTTACGTATGATGAAAATTTTTTTTGGTTTTTTTTTTACCTTCACATTCGTGAAAATTCGATTCGAAATCGTAAATTTATATCAGCACGGCACGAAAAAAAAGAGAAAGAGACAGAGAAAATATAACGCTGGAGATTACGATTACAAAATTTTACAATTAATCATCGATAGAAAGAGAGAGAGGGGGGAGGGGAAATGATAGGAAAATAATCACAACGAAAAAAAAAACTGAAAATCTGGAAAAATTTATTTACTTTTATTTTTTTTTAACTCATTTTCTATTTTAAAATTCGACGAAAAGAAATAATCTTATTTCTTATCAATTTTGATAAGCCGTAATAATAATAATAATAATAATAATAATAATTAACTTCCGCTACTGAATGTATATATAAAATAAATTTTGATGTTTCACTGAAGAGTCACGTTCATTTGTCTCATTTTTCTTTTGTCATTTGGCGACAAATTGTTTTTTCGACAAATGACTAATGTTTTCATGTTTTTTTGACAATCAGCTGTTAATATTATCATTATCATTATCATTACTATTATTATTATTATTATTTTCTATTAAATTAATGAAATTTTTGGCAAAAAAAAAAGTATTCTTAGTCGCAAAATAATTTATTCTTTTTTTTTGGGGGGGGGGCGGAATTTTTTTCTCTTTTTACCTTTGATAGTTACTATTATTATTATTATCATCTAAAAAACAAAAAAAAATTAATACACTTTAACAATAATAATAATAATAATAATTTTGTTTACCACAATTTGAAAACAAAGCGTGAGCCGATTTAAACGTAAATGATTAAATTTTTCGAGTGTAGTTTGGCATTTAACAAGGAAAATGAGAAAGAGAGAGAGAGAGGAAAGAGAGAGAGATAAAAAATACCGAAAGCGATGACGATAATAATGATGATGACTGAGAAAAAGTAATTAATTTGAAATTGAACTTTGTGTGCGTGTAGAAAACGTTAAACGATCAACAACAAACAAACAAGGAAACACCCATCGTATCAAAAGAAAAAAGTGTTAATAATTTTTAAACGTGGCGATAAGATAGTAAAAAAAAAAGAAAATATCGTGGAAGCATCAAAATAATTATCTCCTTTGTAAAAACGCGAGAAAGATAGCGGAAAAAAAAGAACAACCGGAAAAGTAAAGAATTGAATTTTTTTTAGGAATGGGAAAAAACTAAAAATAGAAAGACAAACAAAAATAGGGAAAAAGATAAAAACGAAAAACCATTTCGATATTTAATCGTAGCAAAGGGATTCGTTTTAAATATCAACAAGAGAAAACTGTTTTTATAAAACAGAAATTTCTGGAAAATTTTCCCGAAAAAAAAAAATTACAAAATGGATTATTTTCTTTTTCTTTTCTTTTTTACTCGTGTTTGTGCTTGTATAAACGCTTGTTATTGATACTCTTACGCAATACGTGCGTGTGAGTGTGTGTGCGTGCGTGCGTGTCACGAACCCTCCAAAAAAAAAAAGAAAATCGAAAAAATCTTCGATATTCGTACATTTAAGCGAATACGCAAACCAAATAATCATCATCCACCGCCTCCGCCGCCATTTTGATTTGTGTCGTCATACTTCTTTAAAACTATAATAGTAATAGTGGTAATATTAATTATAATCGCTCCGGAATATTTTAATATAATACGCGTAGAAAATGTTTAAAATCGGTTTTATTATTACTATTATCATTATTATTATTAATTAACTCATTAATAATATATGTGTATATATATATTTAAATAATATCACATATTAAAAACATTTATTAAAATTTATTAAATTAATTTACTTATATTTCCATATGTAATTCCTTGTAATATCCCTTGTTTTAAAATATCATTTATGTTGATTTATCATTTTCATTCGCGATGATGGGTTTTTTTAGGGAAAACCTTTTTTTACCCCCCCTTTCACCCTCCTCCACCCGTCTTCCCCGCTCACCCCCCGGGTGGATGGGAAAAATAATAATAATTATGATAATAAAATTTTCCGCGTTCTTTTTCATTTCCTTTCTCTTTCTTCCAATCTCTCTCTCTCTCTCTCTCTCTCTCTCTCTACACCACACACATTGCAAAAATTAATCGTTTAATTATATCGAATGTAATAGTAATAATAATAATAATTTTTTTTTCTTTCAAACGATAAATCGTTGTTAAATAATAAAATTTTCGCGAAAGGAAAAAGAGGGGAGAAAAACGTAACTAAAAAAAAAAAAAGTGCGCCATATTGAAAATCAACGATACGATTTGTTTACCTTTTCGCGTAAATTACAAAAACGTTCGTTTGTTGCTGTTAATTTAAAAACAAACAGACCCGCATGAATCGACGACAATCGAAAACAAAATTTCCTTTTTTTTTTATTTTATGTAATCAATTATTAATTACGTGAGAGTGCGTGAATGGAGAGGGGGAGGGGGGTAGGGGGTAGGGGATGAAAAAGAGGAAGGAAAATGGGGGAAAGGCAAAAGGAAAAATAATTAATAATTAATTTAATGTTAATAATATATGGAAAAATCTTTTGTGTAGAATTTTAGAAAAGAAAGAAAAAAAGAAAAAAAAAAATTTAAATAAATAAAAAATTATTTTTAGGGGATTTAAAAGAATGAGAATGAGAAATTCATTGTTTAACTTAATAATAATAATAATAATAATGGATACAATGGCGGGTGAGGGGGGTTTTTTATAGAAAATTTTCATTTCTATTGTATATGAGATATTTTAAACGAAGTTAAATTCGCGATATAATTTAAATTAAATTTCATTTTGAATGAAAAAAAAAAATAGAAAATAAATTAAATTTTAATAATTAAGAGAGTTTAACTTTAAGAATAACTACACACGGTTATTATGTATTTCTAGAATTTATAGAAAAGAACATTATGGAAAATTTTATTTGACGAAATCGTTTATTTGATTTTTTTTTTGCTAAAAAAGGGAAATAAAAATTTTCCTATTTTTGTACGTTGAAAGATTTAAAAAATATATATATATATATATATATATATATATATATATATATATATATATATATATTTTTTTTTTTGATGAATTAATGCAAAAAAAAAAAACAATAAAAGGGTTAATTATTCCAGTTTTGGAAATAAAAATAATGATGATGATGATGATTTTTACATGGAAAAATTTTTTATGGATATTATTCACGCGTGAACTCGAATAAAACAAAAAAAACCGACAAAATTTAATTTAAAAGTTTAAATTTTTTTTTTTTACATCCGCCTACTCACTCTCTCCAGTTTTCCATAAAAAAAAAAAAAATTTCTGGAAAAAATTTCGTGTAACAATAACTCGGGTAAAAAAAAATAACAAAAAAACTGGAAAAAAAAAAATTTGAAAACGTCATTGATATACGCAAAAAAAAGTAAATAAAATTTTTTTTTTTTAATAAAAAGTTTTTTTTTTACAGGTAAACCAGTTTTTTTTTTGTGGGGGGGGGAAGAGAGGTAGGAAGGGAGATGTAAGGGAACGAAAAAAGGGCGAAGGTTTAGAAAGAAAATTCGAAGAAATTTTATTTATACATTCAAGCGATAAAATCAAAAAAGAATTTAAATGATTACTGGGGGGGAAGGTAAAAAAAAAAAAAGGAAAAAAAATTTTTTTTGTTGGATTTGCCCGGTAATTTTTCTCGGTAAAATATCCCGTATAAAAAAAAGGCTTGTTAAGGGTTAAAAGGTTATTGTAGGGATGATCAAAAAGATTGTAAACAATTTTAGTCACGAATTTTGAGAGAACGAAAAAAAAAAACGAAGGGAAATGAAAGGGGAAAAAAAACAAAAAAAAAATTATGAAAAAAAAAAAAACCATTTTCCTACCGCCCCCCTTCCTTCCTCCCCACCCGATTTTATTTTTCCTAATACTCTCTCTCTCTCTCTCTTATAAATACTCGTATTATATAATTAAATTTATTTGAAACTTTAATTTTATTGTTTTTTTTTTATTTAAATTTATTCATTCGGTCGTATAGAAAATATATATTATTCATTTAAACAAATTTTCCAGAGAAAAACACGAAATTTTATATATAAATATATATAAAACATGCTTTTAAATAATATAAATATAAATTAAATTACGTAATATGTACGTCATTAAAAATTAAAAAGATTTTTTTTAAAAAAGAAATTTTCTGATTGGTCAATTTATAAAGAAAGTAATTTCTCATTGGCTCGATTTATATAAGTATTATTTTTCTATTGGTCGATTTATAAACAAAATAAATTTTCATTGGTTAATTTTTTTTTTTTAAATCATTTGAGATTTGTGAATTTATTAAATGGTATTAGTCGTAAATAAGCAAAGTATGGGTTAAATTGGTTTTTTAAAAAAAAAATTTTTTGGAAAAATTGACGACGGAATTCAAAAAAAAGGTAAATTTTTTCTTTTTTTTTTTTTAACGGTTCCAAATAGGAAAAAATTAATTACAGGTAAATATTTTAGTAGAATGGGGTGGGGGGGAGAAAAATAATTAAAAACGAAAGAAGAATTCGACGCCATTTTTTTTTTTTTTAAAGTGATATAAATTAAATTTTGTCGTTTCGCGTTATTTTTTGAATTCGGGTTCGTTTTTTTTTTCGGAAAAATATTAAATCGTAAATTATTCTATTATTATTATTATTATTATTTGCATTTCTTTCTATCGTACCTGTAATTTTTTTTTCATTATCTTTTTCAAAAAAAATTTTTTTTTTGAAAATAGATAAATTTTTAACCGAAAGAAAATAAATTTGTTTTTTTTTTTTCAAAGTTTAAAAAAAAATTCACGAAAGAAAAAAAAATGATAATAATAATAATAATAAAAAGGGTCGGTCGACCTCGTTTTTATATTAGTCAAAAAAAAAAAAAAATGGAAAAGAATAAATAATTTTAACATTTTTTTGTTTCCCACTTTTTTTTTTTTTTTTTTTTTTTAATTTACAATTTTCTCAAATAAATTTCTTTCAGTTTTAGAATTTTTTTTTAGAAAAAAAAAAGGAAACGAATTGTAAAAAAAAAAAAAAAAGAAAATATGTAGCGTAGCCGTTTTTTTTTCTGCAAAAAAAAAAAAGAAAAACTTTGAATGATGGTTAAAAATTTAAATATTGTTTG